CTCGTAAATTGGCTCCCAAGTTTATCGGACCATTCACTATCGAAAAAATAATCAATCCATCTGTTGTGCACCTCAGGTTGCCTAAATCTATGAACATTCATCCCTCATTTCATGTGTCCCTATTAAAGCCTGTGGTCTCTAGTCCTCTCAGCTGTAGCCTGCTACAAAGGCCCAGCTCTCCTGCCAGACTCTGCCAGATTGTTTCGTCTAACAGATGTTCCCGCCATTGAAGACTCCTTCATCCTGGCAGCTGGCTCCTCATCTCTCCACCGCCTGTCGACCCTGGTTAATAAACCCTGTTACTTTTGCATTTTTGTCCTTGTTTTGAGTCCTTTTTTGGGTCTACTCCAGTGGCACGTAACAGGATCATATATATGTACCTCATGGCACGGCCATCCTAGCTCATCTTAAGAGTTTAAATACTAATATAAAAATTGAAGTTTAGACAACGGAAATAGAGAGCCCTCACAATTCTAAATTCAAGTCTCATCATGAGGAGGTTTTTGATCCTCACACTTGCAGCGAGGGATGTCACGTTTAGAATGGATAACAAACTAACGATCGAAATAGACGATGAGTGGGGGGAAATATTCGGACTCTTGTCCATAGAAAAAAAAATTAAGACTTTGATTTATTAGGAGGAATGTTGCAGGGCTCTGCAATAAGAGAAGAAGGAGAAGGTCAGAGCACAAATGCTGACCTATGCACCTCAGTGGTGCAATGTAAATATGAGGCAAGGGGTAAGACCCTTAGAGAAGTCCACCACATGTGAGTGTGGCCAACGTTTTTTGATGGCAAATTAAAACCAATCTTAAATAGCTCAATGAATAATAATCAAACTCCCAAAAGGGTGTGTCTCATCCGCTGGGGGAAACATTTGGGAAAATCTGTAATTCCAGAGGAGAAGTTGGATATAGAAATGCACAATGTTTACAGGGAGAAGCGACGAATTCTTACTCTTTCTGGCAATACTCCACTAGAAATGTCCCAAATAGTGTATGGCTCTATAACATGGAATCCACAAAGAGGAGGGACTTCTACCCTTTTAAAATTTTGCGATGAACATACACTGAGGATATTTTATAATTATTGATTTGGTATAAAAACGTTCTATTAAAACCTGGCAGTGCACGATTGTAGAGATAAAACAACAAGCCCAAAACATAGGGTACAGTCGCTCCAGGTTGCCCAAGGATCCTCCTGCTAAAGTGCTAGTGTCCAAAAAAACAATGCAGTTGTCTTCCCAACAGGGGTCTCCTTCTGTGGGCTGGGAATGGCCGGTAGGTTGGAAGGCCCGGCTGGTCTACAAATTCAGCTCCGTCCATCTCGCCCGCTCCACTCCCGATACGTTCGTCCAGCACGGCGGTAGTTGGGTCTGCTCCAGCCTCTGCAACAGCAGTGAGGGGAGAACAATTCACACACCACACCGCAAAGCTGAATAATCCCCCCACAGTGGCAAGAAGGCTACGGACATCCCTTTCTACTTAGCTCGAGTGGCCGTGTATCTGCTCTCCAGCTGTCTCTCTGGGCACTTCCGGGCTCCGGCGCAACATCGAGCCTGGGCGTAAACGGGGAGAGTGCGCTCACTGTCTGCAGCACAATAAATAGTAATTAAAAAACAACAACACACTCCGGAGGCATGTTTCGGCGTCCCTGTAACTTAGCTCGGCTGGACGGTGAATATAGTCTAGAGTGGTTAGACTGGCTCCTCGCACCCGCTCGCCGCCGATCCCCCCCAGTCACACATGCTCCACCCGGCGCAGGTAACGCTATGGATGAGGAGAAAGAACTAACATCCCGCACCACGTACGCGCGCACGCACGCGCGCACGCACGCACGCACGCACGCACACACACACACACACACACACACACGGCAATACGAACGTCCCTTCACTTAACTGTCAGCACATGTTGTCTGTCTCATACAGCGCCTTTTGTCCTCGTGGCTCATTTGTCCTCAGTGTCCTTTGCTCCTCTTGTGCCGGTTTCCCAACATTTTGTCTTCCTGTTTCCGTGCCCCCAAGAATCAGATCCGGGCATTTTTATATACCAGGTTCATGTGGCAGTGTCCAATAAAAACAGTCAGGGGTTTGACTAGGGGCGTGACCAATTAGTCCCACATCCTCCGCTGCACACAATAAATGTTTCAAACCCATTATAGTTCATGCAGTGAATCACAGCAAACACAGCAACCACAGTAAATAAAACAAAAAAACTAAAAAAAAACAATATACAGTTATGTGCAGTGGGCTTATCTAAATGTCCTCACACCCTTTGACATAGTGAACCTGCATATAGTACTTCTGCGTACCCAGATCATAATGGCACCCTTTGGCATAATGCTCAGACCATCGACCAAAATCCTCACGAACTACTTGCAAGTTAGGGCTAAAGAATATAAATCATTGACAGCTTATAATGAGCAGTTTAAACCAGGGGTGAAATGTTTATGAGTTAAAAGAATGCATAGTTCAGTATAAATGCATACAATTGGTAAAAGGCACTGAAGAGGCTATGGCACAGATCACCATGGAATGCTACAATGGAGTGGCAGCTTTCTTCATTGACGAAATTCATTATCCAAGGAGAATGGATCCGAAATTGCTGGCTCCCCCACCAACGGGAGAAAGAGAACTGAACTTTGCTGCACAATGCACTAAGGAACTCACGCTTAAACACGTCATCTTTGGCCCTGACCCAAAACTTTCAGAGGAGGATGTTGCAGGCCCTGCCCGTCCCCCATTGGCTGTAAAATGAAGGTTTTGGTGCCAGCCTTATTAAGAGAGTTTTGTTATTCATTTGATATTATTAAGAGTGTTTTATTTTTCAATTAGTAGCTTTAGTGAGTCATATGGCATCTTTATTATTTATATTAATATGAGTTATCCAATTTTGCTTTTGTAACCTTGTATATGCAACAATGGACTGTGATAATACTGTGCACAGGAAGTTTGCAATATGCAAATCATGTACAAAATACATGCACTCTGTACAGGATGCTTGCGCCTTGCTAGGTGGGCAACTGGCCTGCAGAGCAAAGTAAGCAGTTTTCCAAGCGTCCTCTATCCTTAGAATTGTACTTCTCAGTAATGCTATGTGTGAAGACTGATCACTCTGCACGTACTTGGGAGGAGCCCTGTGGGATCTATAGTATAAATATTAGGTGAAATTCTTGGCAAATTTGCATCCTGTATTGATTTTGGCATTGACCTCATTAGCGTATCCTCTGCTAGTAAGCAGATGCCACATTTGAACTAGGCAGCGCTCTGCAGCAGACCTACTCACAGGGTAAATGCTCCTAAGGTACTTGCATTGTGATTTGTCCTAATTATTTTGTATTTGAGCATTCTGAGTAAAATTGTAGTCATCGAGTAGCTGGGAACACAATATCTGGCTGTGTATTCACCAAGGTGGCTTATTCGAGCCTCCTTACTTGAGTCAATGAGCTTGCACAGCGACGAGCCGATATTCCCCAGTCACAGAATAACACAGTAAAACCTGAATAAAAAGATGAAAAATAAATCACTTGTTTGGATCATTTGTTGAGTTTTCCCTTAATTTCATCTCTACAACAAGCAAGTCCAGCAAGACTAGGTGAGTGGCATAAACATGATGCAGTGTTGGAGGATATTTTACGCAATATTTGATGCAATGTTGGAGGATATTTAATGCAATGTTTGATGCAATGTTGGAGGATATTTTACGCAATGTTGGATGCAATGTTGGAGGATATTTAATGCAATGTTTGATGCAATGTTGAGGTTAGATAAATGTTTGATGCAATCTTAAGAATAGGTACAAGTCTAATGCAATGTTAAGATTAGGTGAACATTTGATGTGATTTTAAGACTAGGTGAATTTTAGTGTAATATCAAGGCTATCTGGGAGGTAATGAGATGCAGGCCACATAGTTTTAGCCTGGGATTTCAATGACTATTTTGTAACACATCCTGTTGATTGATTCTTGTTCATTCTTCATGTTTGGGAGCTTTAGCTGCTGGAATAAAACATAGTACATGGTCACTGTATACTTGTGTCATTGTGTCAAATGTGAATGTTCAAGATACAATTAAAAATAGAAATTGCTTCATAAAATACATGTTTGGTACCATACAAAAAGTCTTTTTATGGTCTTCCAAGAAAAATTATTCAAAACTTTTTTTTTTTTTATCACTACCCACATGCCATGAACTACATGTAAAAATCGGACCATGTTATGTTTTCTTGTTGTTAACAGGACCCTCACACATAACCTATTTCAAATTTTCAACATTTGGTGATTTTTTTTTTTTTTTTTTTTTAAACAGTCCTAGTCTATATCTTGATTCTCAAAAAAATTCACAGGTCTCTGACACCTACAAGTAAGTTTAAAATGGGACTAAAAATGGTACGCCACGGAAATGAATGAGTTTTTTTTTCAGCCCTCTGTGTGTGATACTTACGGAGAGATCGACCTGTGAAAATGGCCGAGAAAAAATTAAACGATTTTAGGCCTGTAAATGGACACATACTCCCCTCATTAAATGAGCTGTAACTTGAAAAGTATTGATCGATAATGACTAAAATTTCACATGATAGTAAGGGACCAGCTGGTACTTTTTTCAAAAATTTTAAAAATCATGATGTGTGAGATTTTCTGGAAATTTAATTAAATGGAGCAGCAACCAAATCAGATCAAGGTGATAATGTGCAGCGTTCGTTATGTCAAACGCCAGGTCTTTATGGGAAGATGTGTGGGATACATTTGGATTATTTTGCGATGGAAATAATACGCCAAGATAAAGAAGGTTTAAAACAACAATACAATGAATGAAATGAATGAAAGCCTCCAGGGCATGCTCACATACTCACGGATGTGGCTCCTTATCACTTAGAACTAGACTAGTACTACAAAAGCAAGAAGTAACGTAATCTGATAATCCCTCAGTATTACAAAACATATTACTCATTCAAGCCTATTTGGCAAAGCAGAAAAAAATCAGCGGTTGGTTGCCATATCCAAGAGGAATGCACTGTGTTTAAACCAGTGAGAGCACCCTCTATTATCTAACAGTTCTACCTGTCGGCTTTATGGGTGTAACAGAGGGAATGGAACCACATAATGAGCAGATTTGTTTCAGGTGAGAGAAGAAACACTGGAGACAAGAGAGAGAGAGAGAGAGAGAGAGAGAGAGAGAGAGAGAGAGAGAGAGAGAGAGAGTGTGTTACCTCACATGCCCCACAGCCATGAGAAGACACAGCTGTAAATTTGTTTTATTTCTCAGCATAACTTTGGGGACTTTATCCATTATATTGGTTATCCTTAATTTAGATCTGAGGTAAGTCACTCATTTGATATTTTAAATTAAATAAACTTATTTTCTCTTTCCCATTCTGTTCTTCATAAATTCTACTATGTCATTTTGACATTTCTTTCAAATCATTACTGTAGCATTTACAATACATTCATGATCTTTGTCTTTCTAGGTTTTGTAATTTTTTATACTAATTTACACTGAACCAACACAAGAATCAGCACAGAAGGAGAATACAGAATGCACAGTTTGAATTTGAGTAAAGGGCAATTTATCTTGTGATATTGATTTTGTGATGTGTGAGTTACTGTGTCCAGAAAACTCCCCTTGTGGATTAATTAAGTTTGTCTAAATCTAAGAGTGAAAAGCTTTAATATATGGTTATAAACCTAAATTCAGCTTCATCATATACCCATATAGCAGATGGTTAATGGTCAATGACAGATAAAGTCATTTTATCCTTGTTTTTGACTTGGCACCATTTCTAGTCAATTAAACATGACTCTTCTGAGAATATTATTTACTTTAAATTCAATATCAACACACAGATTTTTGTTGTAAATGTTAACGCAAGAAATAAAGTCAGGGAAGAAGACCCATGGGAACAGAGCAGGTTAGACAGATGTAGCAGGTGAGGAGGGATTTTATTTATATATATTTATAAACTCCTGGGCATGTAAGAGAAATATAATCCACATATTTTCAGTCTAATCAACCATGGAAAGAATCCGAATAAGTTTATGCTCCACACCCACAAAAAAAAAATATATATAAAATGGGGCTAAAATTCAACAAATGTAAATAGGCCTATGTAGTTCACCTGGATTCATTTTTAGTGATATTGGATTCGGAATTGTTTTTTTCTACTGTCCATGGAGTAAAATTTTGTGACATATCTAGTTTACTTTTTCAGAGCAATTTCTGTAATTTTATAACAAAAATGAAACATTTGGGCGAAAAAAAGAAATCTAAAAATAGTCCAAAAATTAAATAAAACACTGTTAATCTTGATTTGAGTACAGTCCAGACAGTACAGACTGAGGAAGATAAATAGGAAAAATTAAAACAGTCGTCTGCTGTTAGTTTCATTGTTATTTTGTTGTCTCTTAACGTGACATTTGTGATCTTTGTTTTTCTATGTTTTGTCCTTTTTATACTGATTTACGCTGAACCAGCACAAGAATGATCACAGAAGGAGAATAGAGAACGCACGCAAGAGCTTTGTTCTCAAAACAAATATTGGCATCTTAATAAAAGTAAATTATTATAAATTAAAGTGCCTATGACAGGTTATATTTAGATTTAGACAACTTGATCCACAACGGAAAATATTTGGACACAGCGTATTATAATAACAAAGAGAAATTGTATAATACAGCCTAAATAAATAAAGCAGAAATAGCAAGAGACTGATTTTACTTATGGACAGAATTCTCCTAGTGTGATGTCATCAGTGTGGGAGTCTCTAACATAGCACTTTACTTCCTGAAATTTTCAACATATTTTTCAACTTTTCATTTGGGTAATTTCAATCCTGCCACTGTTTCAAGGATCTATTAAAATACAGTCTATGGTTTGTAGGTGTCTTGCGTTGTCTTGACATCATCACATTGTATGTCCTTGTTCGAGTTCTTTAGGAGCGACACAGAAACAAAATATGACCATAGTTCAGAGTTAAACAACAGAAGAGATGGATTTATGTTTTATAATTTACTTTTATGTATGTGCTATTTACCCATAATTATAATTATATTGCAAAGTCTCAATAGTTTGTTGGGAAATGTGTTTATACCATAATGTATTAGCTCCAAATTTAATTGAACATTTATGACCATCTTAATTTTCAACCAAATAATTAGATTCTTCCATAAAATGTTTTGTCATGCCACAGGAGAAAAAGAGATGGTCGATTGTTCCCTTCTCTTGAGAGCAAAAGACACATGGCTCCACCTCAAAACCAAACCCTTTTTTTTTAAGCATCGCTGCTGTTGGATAGTGACCATTTATGATTTTAGACTGCATTTATTTTATTTTGGTATTTTGTGGGGTATTGGCCATTTCATTATTGGTTATATTGCTATCATCATGATAAATGTTTACATTTCTGTCAAAATTATGAAAGAATTGACCTTTGGATATTATATTAATAGCTGTGTTATTGCATTTTTTAATCATCTAAGGGAATTTGAATCCATTTTAATTTAGGCAACATTATTTGTCCTTTTGTATAATGCAAATAATTTTGTATCAAGTTTAAGAAGGTAATGGGTATTGCTTTGCAAACCTTTTTATACACCCTAATAGAACTTTGAAAAAGTTTGAAACTAAATTTAATATACAAACTAAGAATTTGACCTTGTATGTCGAGTATATCTGTGTCAAAGATCATATTTTTGGTACCCTGTTTTCCTAGTTGGTGTAATTGCTCATTTGTTCCTTAAGGTGGAGCCATACGAGGAAAAGTTGTGGGTAAATACAGTCTTCCAATAATGGAGGAGCGGTTTATGGTATTCAGACAGTTTTACAGGTAACTTGGATACTTCAAAATCACATTTTAAAAGAAATTCCAGACCCACACCAAAAGACTTAAATTGACTGAAATAACTTAAGTTGGTTCTGAAAATAATTCATTTTAACATTTATATAAATTTAAGAATAATATTTTTATAATTGGTTTAAGGTATAATAAAATATGAATTTATGGTAAATAAAAATAACTTTTTAAATAAATTAAATTATGGCTCTAACATCTCCAGCCCCTAATTGCTGGTCTAGCAATTACAATATTATTAATAAGTAATAATTTTACATGTTATTACAATTATTCACATTTTATTAAATATTTTTAATATCTGGATAAGGGGGGTAGTCAAGTAAGGTCAGGTCAGTCAAGTTTGGTTTTGAGGCAATTTCAATGTCCATCCATTTAATCTTCATTTTCTGATAGGGTCATTCCATGCCATTTCAAGAAATGGCCCACACACTTTGATCTAAAAAAAAAATAAAAAAAATTACCAAATAGTCCCTTACTATTATGTACCAACCCTGTGAAGATTTTGTCATTTTTGATCAATACTTTTTAAGTTACAGCTTATTTAGTGAGGGGAGTATGTGTCAATTTACGGGCCCAAAATGCACGTAATTTTTTTCTCTGCTGTTTTCACAGGTCGATATCTCCGTATATCAGTATCACACATACAGGACTGAAATTTTGTAGGCTTGTACTCCTCTACTCTGTGTTCAAATAACATCTATTGAAAGTTTGGTCTGTTAAAAAGGTTTTGGACTGTTAAAAGAAATCACCAAATGTAGAAAATTTGAAATAGGTTATGTGTGAGGGTCCTGTTAAAAACAAGAAAACGCAACATGGTCACATGTCATTTATGGCATGTGGGTAGTGGAATATTTGTTTCCTGAAAGACCAGAAAAAGACCTTTCATACAGTACCAAACATGTATTTTATGAAGCTCCTTCAATTTTTTATTGTATCTTGAACATTTAAATTTGACACAATGACACGAGTGTACAAGGCAAGGCAAGGCAAGGCAAGTTTATTTGTATAGCACAATTCGTACACAAAGTAATTCAAAGTGCTTTACAGAATAAGAAATACATTAAAATCATAACAAATCAAAACATAAATAATCATGAAGATTAAAATTAAAAAAGAGAGACATAAATTGGAGAGAAGAGTGCGGAATGAAAATACAGTGACCATGTACTATGTTTTATTCCAGCAGCTAAGGTCACTAAACATTTAAAGAATCAAATGGTTTGATAATAATTTTGATCTGACAAGGTATCTGTGACAAGTTATCTGACATTCAAGAAAACAGCTGTAGATTATTCTCATATTAAAGAAACAAACATGTGAAACACTATGATATTGTCTTCTGTTAGTTGTGGACGGCACATTAATGTTCTAGACTATGCAAACGTTACAATAGATTTAGATGCGTAAACATCTGGAAGCAGCCAAGAAGTGAGGAAACAGTTCCCCATCATGTTTGCATTGCCTGAGCAGGGAAAGAAAGTCTTATGGAGCCTTAAATGAAAAGTGTTAAGGTTGTTCATTTAAGGGAAATATCAGGATTTGTGGAAATTTATCGCATATAAAACATTATATTCATCTTTATTCCGGGGTGGATCTATACAGTTCCAAATTCACATTTGTTTTGAAAGATGTTTTTTATTTTATTTTAAGGAGAGCCAGTACATGTTTGGATCACCATGGGACCAAGAGCCTACTCCCAATAAATGAATGAAGTGCACAGATGACGAAGTGCCTAATTCAAATTACAAGGCCACACCGCAGTCAACATGGTCAACTGAACCATATAAAACGAGTCCACCAGGGATGAAAAAGCCTCTACAGGTTGAGGAGAATTCTGGTGGTCAAGCTTGTGGGGACTGTCCATGCTGCCGTGACCTCGGCCAGAAAATCCAAAAGCTTTGGGACCAACTGCAGGTTTATGAAGATGTGCCTACCAATACTGATGATGAATAAGACATACATGTTCTGTGTTCTAGGTTTTTAGATAACTTTTAACACATCCTGTTGATTCATTCTTGTTCATTCTTCATGTTTGGGAGCTTTAGCTGCTGGAATAAAACATAGTACATGGTCACTGTATACTTGTGTCATTGTGTCAAATGTGAATGTTCAAGATACAATAAAAAATTGAAGGAGCTTCATAAAATACATATGTTTGGTACCATATGAATTGTCTTTTTCTGGTCTTTCAAGAAAAATATATTCCACATTTTTTCATCACTACCCACATGCCATAAATTACATGTGAAAATCGGACCATGAGTACAAGCCTACAAAATGTCAGCCCTGTATGTGTGATACTTACGGAGATATCAACCTGTGAAAACGGCCGAGAAAAAATGACGTGCATTTTGGGCCCATAAATTGACACATACTGACCTCACTAAATGAGCTGTAACTTAAAAAGTATTGATCAGAAATGACTAAAATTTCACAGAGTTGGTACATAATAGTAAGGGACCAGCTGAAC